TCTCTCTCTCTCTCTCTCTCTCTCTCTCTCTCTCTCTCTCTCTCTCTCTCTCTCTCTCTCTCTCTCTCTCTCTCTCTCTCTCTCTAACCACCTCTCTTTATTTAACTTCCCCCGCTGGCCGAACGTCATGGCGATCCAATGCAAAGTGAAGTAAACGACAGCAACACCGTGCACAATCACAACCGGAAACGTGGGCGACAAGCGGGGATGGCGCGGTAGGCACTCCATGGGCGACCCGGAAGGTGACATTCGCATGCACTGCGAAGTTGACGACGGTCGATAGTATGCAAAATGGGGAGCTTTCTTCCTCGCCGCTCACGCACCCCCCCTCCTTCCTCGCCGCTCGTGCACCCCCCTACTACCCTCGCCATGTTCACGAGCAACTAAGAGTCTGCACCCGCACACCCCCGCACCCTCACCCTCTCGCCGGTGTGGCGCGCACCCACGCCCGAGCCGCTGCTCGTCATGCGGGGCACCTACCCATGGTATCATGGGTAGAACAAACCGATGCCCGCGCTTATCATCGTCGTCGTTGTCTTCAACAACCTCCCCCTTGCTTCAACTATCCACATGAAGATTGCTCCCAAGTTCAACCTGTCAAATTGAATTCGGGAGAGAGCTGTCGAAATGGGACAGCTCCAAGAGAGAGAGAGAGAGAGAGAGAGAGAGAGAGAGAGAGAGAGAGAGAGAGAGAGTTGTTTAGTTTGATGTGCTCTCACCGTTGGGCACAATGGTTCAAGACTTTGAATACTGGGTTGATTGCGCAACCGGGTCTCGGTTGCGATGTGTGATATAATGATATTGCAATGTGTACATGACGCGAACTGTTTTTCATACGCTTCATTTGTATTGCTGTTTGAATGCTTGTTTCACACGGCATCCTCACGTCGTCTTGGGCAGTCTCATGACTACGTGTAACGGTATATGTACATGCGATTTTGCGATGCCATTCAAGTATTTGCTTCTGTCTTCTTTATCACCGACTTGTTTTCCAATCATTTTTGTTTTTTGAACACGAATGCACTGACGAAGCTGATGAAGAAATGCAAAGAACCTCGAATGACATCCATGAACAACATCGAAATCGGCAGACAACATAATGATCCTTCTCATGCAAAAGGATACACAGTGTTGAACTCAAACCGAAAAAAATCTCACGAAAGAAATGCATAGTTAAAAAAATTTGAAATATACGAAAGCTTCGACCACCGCTCGTAAGACGAGACAATTTCTCTTTGCAGGTAGCAAAAACAACAACACACAACGACGTCCACACACAAGACCTCCATCCACGACGCCGTCACCAATGCCACTCGCCGACATCCCAATCCGCCACTTGACCTATCCACTGCCCCTCCGTCGATGGACGCACGTCGACACCTACCCTGGAAAGAAGACACTACCCAAATACCGAACTCGCCACAATGGACGGACTGCAGCACTCATCGGCATGACGAACAACCACCCCGATGATCGAGAATCGCCAAAAACAGTGCACCGTCCATGCATCGAGGGGAACTGCGAAAGAAGACGCCGTACACGATCCGAACCGCCTGCACGAAGACAATGGAAGTCGACAGACCATCACCGTGTTTAAGTAATCGACAGTGGCGCGATGGATAAGAGAAGCCTGCAGTTTGCACACACGAAGTAGTAGGAGAAGGCTGACGACATAGTACAGTTACTGCGAATCTAACGCGAAAATGGTTCGGGCACATCTCGGCGGGACCGACTTCAGTTAGGACTAGGCAGGGGTTAACGATCAGGTATCTGGACGAGATTTGGGGAGGAGGCGGGTCGGCCCCGCCTGTTTTGAAGTGAGACTCTCGGATACCGCGGCAGGCTTACAATAGGATTTTGTAATTTTCATCATTTTGACTTTCGGCTCCTACGCCGGTCTTCGTTATAACGTTGTCAGAAACCATTTTAAAAGTAGACCTTCGGATCCCGCAATGACCTTTCTCGTAGGAAGGTATTGGCCTCATCATTCAAACTTTCGGCTCATACGGCGGTCATATTCAGGGGTATGACGGAGTCGAAGTTTATTTTGGCTAGCGATTTTGGTGTTTCGTTGCAAATGTACCATAATCAGGATGTGAGTTGGGTGTGGACGACGTGATGATAAGCTACTATACTGGGATCTTGAGACCCTGATAGATGTTTGTAGGAGACGGGAAGAGTAGAGGGTCAGAGACTGCAGACACAGACTATATAACTTGGGAAGCAAGGCTGAAGCTTCCCTTTTCGAGCACGAAGGCTCATTAGAGTCACCCTCCTGAGGATGCCCGGTGGATGGGCGAAACCGGTTGAAGGATCCACATGTTGCTCCTTTTGTGATTTAAGGAAGTACTGCATCTGTTTTGGACCATCGCTTATGTGTATGTGTTTGATAC